TGGAGTCAAACCGTTGGCCAACAGTTGGATGACTTGCGCCGGGCGTTCGCTGACAACGGGTTTGTCATTGATTTGATTGAAGTCCATCCCGACAGCGACCGTATGCCTCGTCAGCATATAATTGGTAACATTATATTAATGCTAATATTTACGTGTTGAATCGACATACTACGGTATATACAGTTTAAAACTGTAATTAATTGTAGTAAAATCAAACCAATAGTTAATCAACAGTTTAACACAGATTCACAAACGAAGGAATTTTATTTATGATGTTTAGGTTTGTTAATAATAGTTAAATTAGTCAGAGGGGTGGGGCAACAGTTTGCAATAAATTTGTAAATTGTATGCTTAATACAATATTTTGTAAATATTGAAACCAATGATTATGGTACAAATAATTTTGTTGTATATTCATCAATAAATCCGATAGATTTTATGCCAAATATGATGAACGCGTGGCGACAGTACTTCGATACCGACCAACAGTTTGAAAGCGACAAAAAGGATTTAATGGAAATAGTGTTCGACGCGTCCACCAATCCGGACGCCGTGCGGCCCGACCCGAAGGCGTGGTCACACTTTTTGGCCAATGAGAACATCGCCGAAGTGGTCAAGACTGAACAAATTGTTCAAATTGTTTGCCATACAATTTAATTGCGCGAAACACCACTTGTATTGTAATAGTGAAGCGATTTAATAAATTCTATAAGCTTTTAATTTAAAGTCTATTCATTAAAGTACAATACACTTATTATGCAATTATACTATTGTGTTGCTTATTAACAGAGCATTGCTAAATATGCATTTATAAGCAGTCAAATATGTCATATAATATGCAAGAAAACAGGGCCAAATATGCACTAAAATATGCATTTATTTTTCATAAATTTATTGACGAATATTGCAATTTTGCAATTAATATATCGATTATAAAGTTACTTGGTAAAATTTATGAATACTTAACTATAATTTGAAGAGTATTTGCATATATTTAGTAATAAATGCTCAATTTTAATCAATGTTTCAAAAGCACACACTTTGGAGCAAATTTTATTTCCCTAGTTTTTCATGTTATTTAGAACAAATAAATTATTTCAATATATTTTATGTGACTTAATTCACATTTATAATTTTGGTACGTTTTTAATTAGCTTGCAAATAACTAAATATCAAAATAACAACATACAAACTCATACATTTTTAATAAATTCGTAAAATATGCGCTTAAAATGCAGTTATAGTTCAAATATGCGGTAACCCATTAAATATGCATTTATATGCATTTATAAACTCGGCTAAAGTGACCCCCAGTACGTGATCGGTGGACATCCGGACACTCACACCGATACTATGCACCGCTAGATATATGCAAGTATGCATTTAACAATGCTCTGCTTATTAACAACACTGTCTATCAATATTCAATTAAAATTGCGTTTAAATAAAACTTTAACTGATAAATGAAATATTATTTATAAGTTTTGTTTTGTAAATTTAAATAAATGATAAATTGATAAAATAATAATAAAATATTAAACTGGCCTATTTATTAGCTATTATAATTATCTATCTATTAGATATCATAATAGTTATGTAAATCTTTATATAAAATTTAGATGTCTATAATAGTTTAATAGCTCTTGATTACATAATTTTAAGTTAAAACTACACATAATATTGTATTTGTGAAAACACAAAATATAACATTTAGAGTTTAAAATAAGCTATATATTTTAATTTAAAATGTTCCAGTATAAAATTAAAAATTAATCACCGTGGCATTAATAAGATATTTGCATTGTAATTGTTATTTGTGTAATAAGCACCATATTAAATACAGTCATTTAACAATGGCGAACTTTTATGAAACCTATTTATCATTATATTTAATATAAATATTAAACAAACATTATTTAATAAATAAATTAAACGTAACCTAAATCTAAATTTAATCTAGTGTATTTTTATTTTAAGAATACAAATTTAAGTAAATTTAATTTTAAAAATTTAAATAAAAATTACAATAATTTCAGTTATAATTTTAACATTCATACAAGATATAAAATATTTTCTAGTAACTCTACTTAAAAATATTGAGCATTAAATATTCTTATTCTCAAACTGTATATAATATATCACATTGCAATGCAATACTTGTTTTTAAAACACAATGCTTTAAAATATTCCTAATTTTTTATTAAAATATTAGTTTTTATAAATAAAAAATTTTATTTTATGCAATTCACGCTCATAGTACATTGCATATTCTGCATTTGACATTGATACTCGTAGTGACTAGGTAAACTTAATTTTATTAATTATAGTAATAGTATTTAAGTGAATATTCATCAATTCATATTTAAATTCTGTAAAGTATTTTATATTATATTACAAGTGATAGTATTAATAATAATGTTATTAAACGTGTGCTATTTGGTAGCCTCTGTTGTGGTGGTTTGGATTACGTATAATTATTTGTAAGTATTTTATATTATAACATTTATATTATACATGTATAAATTAACACTTACAAACTAATAGGGAGTATTTTAATAAGAAATCATGAGATCACAATATGTGGTTTAGTTACTGTTAGAAAATCATAGTTAGTATTCCCGTTGATTGTACTGTTAATAGCTATACGTCAGGAAGTTATGGACAGATTAATTATGTTTTGTGTTATGCATATTAATTTTCAATTTTCATTATTATTTGCCAGTATTAGTGCAGATTATATATGAAAGGTTTATGTATAAATTTGCAATTCAACCTAGACTTAACATTATCCATTGGAGTAGCATTGCCCATAGACATAGACTTGCATAACCCATATTAGCATTATCTATGTTAACTTAATGTCATAGAGATCTTACATATTTTTAACGTTTTTCTTATTAAATTTTTAACCTCATATAGATTTAATTTTTTATTCAATAGAATTACAATTCAATAGAAACACATGTAAACTCATTAATCCATAGAAAAAGCGTTCCCCAACTTATCATATGGGAGTTTCCTCGTGTTGAAGCATAGCCATAGAGATCAAATGAGATACCATGTTATTTGTTATATGGTGGGAAGGGGGGGGACGTCACTATTTAATAAACTACATTCTTTATTCTAAATTGCGTTTTAAAATAATTGTATTTTATTTGTATAGCAAATGGTATCGTATATTGAATTACTGGTTGGAGCGCAATATCTCGGGTCCGAAACCCATCCCATTGTTTGGCAATAATTTAAGTCCTGTCCTAAAGCCGAGAGCAATGGTTGATATGGAGTGGTATAACACTTACGGCTCAATTTTTGGGTAAGTATTTGAAGTAAAACTAAATACACAATAAATATGTTTAACACTATATGTATACACAACTTGTTGTATAGAATCTATGATTGTGGAAAACCCCTGCTATATGTGGCGGACCCGGTGCTCATCAAACAGATTCTGGTGAAAGACTTTCACACATTCCGTAACAGAACGCAAGTCCCGGGAATCGTCTCAAAGTCTATGCCCAGAGCTTCGGATGAGGACTGGAAGCGTATCCGCGCGATAGCGAGTCCCGCATTCACTTCTGGCAAACTTCGACACATGTATCCACTGCTCAACGAGTGTTGCCTTCATTTATTGGCCGAACTCGACAAATACGTGTCCACCAGTGGTGGTCACCGGGAAGTGGACGTCAAGCAAGTGATGAGCGCCTATACACTCGATGGTATCGCCAGCACTTCGTTCGCCATCAATACCAACTCCTATTCCGACCCAAACAACGAGTTCATCACAACTGCCAATAAGATCGCAAACTTAATCTTTTCTACTAATGATTGGCATAAGATATTAGCCATGATTTTACCCACATTTCTAACTAACAACCAAATGTGGAAACGGATGGCAACCGGCGGTCGTCCCGCCGACCAGTTTTTCAATGATGTCGCCCGACGTGTGATGTCTGAGCGCAAGAAATCGGATCAAAAACACAACGATTTCTTGCAGTTGTTGATGGATGTGGAGAGAGAGGACGACACGACTACCGGTGCCGGCGATGCTATGTTTGGACATCACGTGAATGAGAGCGTTGACGAACTGATGGCAGAGAAACAAGCGTTTAGTGGAGTGTTGGCCAAGAAGTTGACCGCCGATGAGATACTCGCGCAGTGCTCAGTGTTTTTTACGGCCGGTTATGAGACGACTGCTCTGACCCTAACGTACTGTACGTATGAATTGGCAGTGAATCCCGATATTCAGGACCGGTTGGTGGCGGAGATCAGAGACGCGTTCAATGAAAACACTGCGGACATAGACTACGAAACCCTTTGCCGACTCCCACTCCTCGACGCCGTTATATCGGAAACTCTCCGCAAATATCCCACAGATTCACGACTGGAAAGACAGGCTTCGGATGACGCGGTGCTGAGCGCTGGTAGCGATCGATCCAACATTAAAATTGCAAAGGGAGTGGTTATAAAGATCCCGATATATGCCATACATCACGACCCGGACTACTTTCCCGACCCGTTTGCCTTTAAACCCGACCGCTTTTTGCCCCAAAATTGCCATCACATCAAACCCTATACATACCTACCGTTCGGCTCCGGACCCCGTAAGTGTATTGGTATGCGCTTTGCATTGCTTGAGGCAAAACTAGCCATGGTCAAAATGCTGCAACGATTCCGTTTTTATCGGGTGCCCGACACGGATGTGCCCCTCGTTTTCCTGAGGGGTTTCGACCGGATATATGCGAAGAGACTTGTGGTGGGCGTCACTAAACGCTAACAACAAATACATTTAATTGCTTTTACTTTACTGTAATTTTAATTTAGTTTTGTTCTCGCTCAATTATTTCTGAAATAAAATCCAAATAAAATTGGTCATGTTTATTTCTCTTACTAACATTATTATAATCATGTATATTTTAAAAACTGATCAGAATTCTCTCACAGTTAAGAATTATTATAACACATTTCCAGAATTACCAAAAGGCCTATTATGGGTATAAATAGGAAATTTTAAAATGTTATCTATAATTTTATGCAATTATTTTCAAAGATATCCATATTAAATACTAAATTTTAGTTTTAAAAATATTTATTAATAAATATTCAAATCAATACTAAATACTACAGAATAATACTAATAATTTCTATTGAAATACATATATTAATTAAAAGCGTTGAGAGTTACACAATAATTAATCGGCTTTAAGGGCACCGGTGGCTGGCTTTGGGCCCAAGCGTTGTCCGACGCCGGCGAACACATAGGCCGTCAGCGAACGGCCCAAACGGTCGAACGGCAGCGCAAACACCGCCGACACGACAATCATTATCGCGTAATTCAATGCAATCACTGCCCATATTATGGGATATCCATAGAGCGCACGACCGGACACATCGCCCACCACTGACCCGAACACTGTGTTTGACAAAAACCAGTGAAACAAAAACGACGAGTGCTGTGCTGTGCGGAAGGGTCGCCACCAACGGTGCGATAGCACCCGACGGCACAGGTTATACTCGGCGGCCGTCACTATAGCCCAGGCGGCCATTAGTGCCCAATACACCGACGTGTAGGCCCTCTCGATAGCGACGTACGCCGGCAGCCATTGGCCGGAGAATAGAGCCGAAAGTCCGATGACATTCAGGGCGTAAGTCGAAGCCATTGTGACCGAAGACCAGATGATTATTTTGGGCCACAAACGGTATGCGCGTAAACGCACGAAGTATTGGTTGTCGGCGAACATATACCCCATGAACATCCCAGTCATATAAGCGATACCATGCTCAAATGGTTTAATAAGCACCATGTTGTACAATGATGGAGACCTTTAAACATTTAATATTTGATTATAAAGTAAACTAGAAGAAATTCTATGTTGTAAATAAATGTGTGAGAAGAGAGAGAGAGAATTAAATGTCTAACTTAATTGTTACAATTAGTCATGATGAATTTTGACTAAGAATTGTTAAAGAAATTAATTGTTTAATAATTTTTAAAAATGTAAAGTTATATAAAAGCGATTCTACGCTTACGTTCGGGACCAGCCATAGAGTCCGAAAGTGAATCCGTTGACATACATAATGGACATGCTTGTTACCAAGAACATTACAATACCAATTATTATAGCCATGATGCCAACTTTCCGATTACTGTCATTTGATAAGTATTAATAGTAAAATCATTATTTAAAAATTAATCAATATTAATTGATCAATCAATATTAATACATTAAATTAACAAATCAATTTTTACCAATAAATTTTAAAATTTATATTCATAAAATGTAAAATCTTAAAATTAGAATTACAATTTGACGCATTAGATATAGAATTACATATAGAATTATGCTTATTTTCAATTATAGCAACAATCTTATTTTAAACAAGCAACAACATATTGCTGCATGGTAATTATTTTGATTTTATCTACATTAAATTGTATACATATTTCCAGGTAATTTTTAAAGTTTACCAATATCAGTTATAATTACTTACCGGAACAGAATATACATGAATATGGGTGTCATGAAGTATAATTGCATTGTAACACAATGTGACCATGTTATTCTCATGCACTAAAAAATAATGTCATACTGTATGTTAAATCCCAATAAAGTGTTTAAAAATTATTTATTTAAATTAACTAATACCGATATATAAAGATGTTAGTTTATGTTAATGAAAAAAGTGAAATAGACGCAATTAAAATATAACTTACCATGTCGTAATGCGGCAAATTTGCTATAAATAACGCGTTAAAAATCCATTGATCAGTGCATAATTTAACCATGGCAGTGTTGTAAAATTTAGCCGGAATCATATATTTCTCGTATACAATAGCAAAATATAGAGATAAATAATAAATGGGAACTATTCTCATAAGACTATCAAAATAATAGCGTATAGTAATTGATGTAAACGTTTGGCGCATTTTATTGTCGTATTGACGGCGAAACCATTGGCCAGAGGATCGGCCCTCCAGTAGAAAAATTAAAGCCATCACAAACTTACACAAACAGTTGTAGAGTGCGAGTGCCCTGAATAAAAACAATCATGGTTTATTAAGTATTATATAATCATAAAGGCGCCTGATAGTCACAAAAAACAAAATTATCAAACGCCACTTTCAAATTAAGTAATGATTTTATTTGTGTTTTCAAATTAAATATACAAAAAAACTTTGAAAATATGCCAAATAGTTACAAATGCCTCAAATATAATTAAAAATAAACGTTTGTTAAACTTATCCCTTATACATGATCGGTTCACATCCTGAGTCAGGGATAATACTATTAACCGCTAAAATAGTTGCTATAGGTAAATGCAATTATCTGGAAATTAATTAACACCTCTATTTATAATCCTTTTTAATTTTATCATTTGTAATGTGGAAGCGAGAGAGAGAGAGAGAGAGAGAGTCACTTACGTGTTGTTAGAATCTAGACCGGCATGCAAACAAAAATGACCATGGATGAGCCAGATATGGCTCAACACTCGTATGCCTCCCATTATGTCTCCATTACCGCCAGTAGTGGTTGTGTTAACGCGAATCGATTGTCGATAGTTTGAAACCAAAGACAACGCGTTTAACAAATAGTTTTGTTGAATACGTGAGCCGTCTTTGCCTTTACTTTTGGCGGTCAACCAATCGATGTATATGTGTTCACACGTGGCGTACATTACAAACAATACCCATATTATTAATAGAATGGTAAAAATATACAAATCAATCATGATTAATTAATTAACAATTAAATAATTAAAATATTATATTGTAAATTTTTAAAACAATTATAATCATATATTTTGAACGTCTAAATTAAAATGATATTATTCTTGTAGAAACTTTACTTATAATAAAATTTTCGTATAATTGAAAGAGAGAGAGAGAGAGAGAGAATAAATAAAATTATTTTTTATACAATTGTCATTGATTTTATAGTTTTATAAAACTAATTGAAATTTTAATTTGCTTGATGCTGGAATTATAAAATTGTTTTCTAAATTGGAATTGGATTCCGAATTAAATATATTTATTTAAAAACATTTAAAATTAGATTTAATAGATTTATAATGCAATCCTATTGAGACATTTTTTTAAGGAAGTACATTACAAAGAATATTTATTTTTGATTTACAATATTGTAATGTCATTAATGTTGGGCACATCAGAACTCATTGCCATTCGGTGGACATGTATTGATACAAAGATAATTAATGTTACAGTAGTCGTAGTTTACAGACTCGGGTCAAGAGTAGTCAATATCTACCATTATGTCAGACAACTTAAGTCTTATAAAATATATAGTAATCATTAAAATTTGCTAATATATACATGTAATGATCAAAATGAGTAGATTTATGGAAATCCGTGTTTTTGTGTGAATTCTAATCGCATGGAAATTAAAAGATATGCGAAATTTTTCTCAACTTTTGTCGTCAACTGTTTTACAATACCTTTAGCTGATAATCCATTTTATTCAATATAAGCTATTTATTGTTAGTTATTAAAAAATAGGTTGTTCTAGAATAAGCCTGTCCAGTCTTTTTTAGTATATCACAAGTACAGTTTCACAGTGTGCCATAAATAGGTGGCGCAACGGTCAGTAAAAAAGTTTAGGTTTGTCAGTATTAAACAAGAAACACCACGTGTAGGTCATCATAATAGTTTCTCACCCATTTTTATAGTGGTTGACTTTCAGTCTATCCACAAAACGTCATTTAAAACAAAATTTAATTATTAAATACGCATTTTAATTAGATTTGTGATATTGTTTGCGATAATCAACAAGTTTAATAATATTTGACTCAATCATATTTGATGACCATATTTTCAAACGTGATCTTAATGTTTTTGCGCAAATACTACCAGTTTTGTCATTTTTAATTGATTTCATTAGAGAAAAAAATTGTTCACAATTAAAAGTAGATCCAAAATATGTTAGAATTGTTAATGCATTATTTTTTAATAATGGGAGTTCACATATAACGTTACGCTGAAAATGTATTGCATTAATAACGTCAAACATAATTTTAATCCAAACTTTAAAACATAATTTTAATGTTGTTTATGACAATTGGCTTTTCTACTTCAAGTTCCCAAAAGGAACTTGACTGAACAGGAGGACCATATATGGTAAATAAAATAAATATATAACCAAAAAAATAATAAACATTTTAATAACATGCCCCTAAATAACATGACTAGATTACAATAATTGATCATGATCATTTATATTAGTTTCTCAATGAAATTCATAACAGTATTTGTGTGCGAAATACAATTTAGTGATTAATATTGTATTTTGCAAACGACTCATACATTACTTATTAAACCCTTAAAATTAATTGGTTTTTATTGTTTGACATTTGAATTGAGACAAAAAATGTCATTAAATGTGATCCCAAAGTCTTATTCACACGAATACCAGCCATTAGTTGTGGTCAAAGACATCAACAGCTAATCAGTAGTCCATGGCGTGTGTTATCACCGCTGGAACCGCTGGACACCGCTGTAAGTGATCTAATGCTTTATCCTATTTCATGATTAAAATCTCAATACTATTCACATTGAAGTGAACTTAAGCCATGCCTTTGTCTTCGAGACCATGTGTTTAATGTTTTTTGGGGGACACTTTAGTTTCTGGCCGGAGAGGTATAGGGGGGTTAGGTATTTATATCGAAAGGGTGGCCCAAGAGGTATCCAACGACGTATATATCAAGTGTACCGGATGTCCCGTTCCGGAGATATCGGGTTTAAAAATACCGAATATCCCATAGAAAACCATTATAAAGCAATAAGTAAATTTTGCATAAAAAAATACAAGTTTTAATAAAAATAATTTATAACTTCACCAAACCTACTCTACTCTACCCTACTCTACCCTACCCTACCCTAACCTAACCTAACCTAACCTAACCTAACCTAACCTAACTAATATTAAATAGAAAATATATATTTTAAAATTTTAATTTTTTAATTAAATATAGTTTAATTTACTTTATAATTATACTTTATATGTTTTATCCCCGGAACAACTCTATATGTAAGCTTTATATAAGTATAATGTATTCCTATGTAAAGTATAAATGTTGCGTTATGACTTTCTATGGGATGTTCGGTATTTTAAACCCGATATCTCCGGAACGGGACATCCGGTACACTTGATATATACGTCGTTGGATACCTCTTGGGCCACCCTTTTGATATATATACCTAACCCCCCTATACCTCTCCGGCCAGAAACTAAAGTCGCGCCGTTTTTTGTGTTTAAAGGATCCGATGGTCAGAGAATTGGTATTAAATTTGGCGACAATTTAGAGGCAAACCATTTCAAGACAGTAGTAATGGAGAGAATACACGACTTATTTGAACAGTTGTCTCAATTCAAGTCATCGATAGACTTGCCATCAGATACTGGACTCAATCCAATTGATGACAGGTATTCACAACACACACACACACACCCACTCTTAACCCCTAAGCCCTATCTCTACCCCCACCCCTCCCCACCCAATGTATAATTGATAACAACTAACGCTATTATATTTATTTATGAACAGGTGTTGTGTTGGCGTGTATTACAGGCCATATGTTTAGCAAACTTGACGCCCCGTCCGATGAACACAAACGCCGCAAACATTTGCCATACAAGACATCACTCCTCCAGTCGACGATAGCCCACAGATAACGGCCGACAACCGGCCAAATGCTGTATCATTGGCCAACCCTTTTGTGGCCGACAATCACCACCACTTCCAGTGCCCGACACAACCAATTGGTGGACAACACTCGCAATGAGTATGTGTTGTGTTTTGAGGTTTTAAACTATGTTTTAATTGTTTATATTATTCATAATATCTATCGATTCAGATAATGATCCAAATGGTGGACACAATGCGGGCAATAAACACACCGACCGAACACTCAGTATTATTAATACAAATACTGATCACACGGCCAACAGTTGGCAACGCTTGTAGACGACTGGCCATCACGTGTTGTACGGTTGACGCCGAAAGATGGTTAGTCGCTGTTAAGTAGGCTAAAGACTATAAAGACTCCGCACGTGATTGGCTGGGGGTATAGCGGGCGACAAGTTGTCGGTCCAATTCCAGTGGACGCGGGCCGCAGCCAAACAACCGCTCGACCGCTTGTCAATGGGCCGCCCGGACGACAACCACAGCCGCTGTCACCCATATGTCTGCCGTTGATTTGCCACAACTTATATCTGAATTCAAGCCATCGCTAGATTGAAGACAATTGAAACTCACGACGAGATACAGACTGTTTGTACAACTGTTTAAAGGATCCGATTGTCAGAGAATTGGCATTAAATTTGATGATAAATTGGATTTAAATGCTAAACAATATACTGAACACTGGTTTCAGCCGACTATAAAAGCATTGAATTAATGAATTCATCACTCAATCAACTGTTGCTCGATATCCGCCACAGAAGAAGACATTATAACACAACTGAAGACATTATAAAAGAGTGGATGTATTGGATTTGATTCACGAACACGAAGACAAAGAACAGCTCATTATTGATACCACACATTAAACAACTAATTATCTTATTGTTAAATCAATTATTTATTAATTGTGTTAATTTTTTGTATTTATTTTTGTGTTATTTTTTGTTTTATTTTTTGTGTCATTTGTTGTATTGTTTTTATGTTTATTATCTTGTTGTGAGTTTTTCCCCCCGTTTAGCGATCGTCTCGTCTGTGTCTTCATTGAATCCATGGTTTGCCGTCGTATTCAACAATTGATTCATTTGTTTTCGTTGTATTCATTCTTTGTTTGCATCACTTGTTGTGTAATTTGTGTCCATTTTATCTCATTATCTGTTCACACGTGATGTCCATCTGATTCGTATGCCTTGTCATGGATTTGATCCAATGGTTGACGTGTAATGTTTGAAAAGCCATTTGTTTTACATCATGTGATCCGTGAAATCATTCATACGTTCACTGGTTTTCATACATTGTTTGCATCACTTGTTATTGTGTTTCATCTGTTTTTTTTGTTTGTTTCATTTGTCGAGCATTTGATGGACTCTTCGCGTGTAAATCGATGTGTCTATGAATGGGTTTTGTGTTCCCGATTGTCGACAGCTATTAAATGGCTGGCAGTGGTTGTGGTCAGCGGTTCCGCCGTTACCGGATCACCCGTACTGTCCAAGGCATATCAGTAATGTTTGGCCCACGGACTGCAAGTCCCGCTGATCCGGCACTTGTGTCGCGCGAGCGAGTAATGGGTTGCGATGCTATCGGTTGACTACACCTGCCCGGCACCCGGAGGTTGTGTTTGTAAAGGAACTGGAGTTATAGTAAATACAAGCCGTGCGATAAGGTGTCGGTCATCCCGGAGCTCATCCAACGCCGTATTAGTGGCCTCTCTTGTAGTGGCGATCACATGTGTGGGCCCGCCATCGGTGCCGATGTTGGCCAACAGTTGTCGCACTAATTTCAGACCAATGCCACGATTGGCGCCCGTAATAAACCGTAATCAATCAAAAATTTATGCAAACAATCCTGCTCTTCAGATTAAATTCATTGCCTCTTCCAATGCCCGGAGCCCTGACCTGTCGGATGTCGTCCACCGATCTGTTATTGTCAATAGACTCTACCCTTAAATCACGTACTCCTACGTAAAGTAATGTCTATTTGTGTTATTTTTTTGCAAACTACCCGCATAAATTGTATACCCGGTATTGTAGCGTAATCTATTCAGACAAATGTACACATTATACTATATTTGCTCATAGAATCAGATTTATATATAAGTAATCATTTAATAAATTATTTATAATAACTTAATTACGAACTTTGTAAAATAAAATACTGTTTACGTTAAGTTAAACAGTAAGTCTTAAACTGTCTTATCATTGTGTTATCATTAAGAAAATTAATTATTTTAACTGATTTTAAAGATTAGATAAAATGAAGTGAAAAATGTGGAAAAAGTAAAATTTTAAAGTTAAAGAAAAAATACAACATTAAGTCCTTGAATATAATAAACGCTGTAAACGTGTGTATGAATTAATTAACGCACATTTATTTAATACTGTACTTCACTTACTTTACGATATTACATAGCTGATTTATTATACACACTGTAATTTTAACCTTCATAATTCATGTGGTAATAAGGTTTTAATGCTGTGTTAAAAATATTTCAACAATCAGTTGGTATTTATTTGTGTACTAAAAATATCGTTATATTATTTTTTGTGTGCATTTTATTGATATAAATTGCTAAATATATAATTTTAAATATAATGAACTCGTTGTTATTAGCGGATAGTGTTTACCACAATCCTGTACTAACGCTAAACAATGCCGATAATGTTGATAAAGTAAGTTACCAACTGACCTTGTTAAATCCCATATAACCAGGCTTATTTCAAAACCTTTAACATTTCTAATAATTTCTATACAAATACTAATAATTAAAATGTGAATTAAATTCACTTATAAAACACCCTTGATTAATTTTAAGTCTAATTGTAATCATGATGTTTAATTTGTTACATAAACAACTAGATTAAAAACTTGACAAAAGGCTTTCTACACAATAAGTCGACACTATTGGCCGTCTCCAAGACGTTCACCGATGAGATCCAATTGGGACTGGCGTTGAGACCGCCGATGCGGTCGTCCCTTATTATGGCCAACACTTATGTCACACAACTGCCGGACGGCACCGAACGGGGAGACTATATCTCGTTAGACTTGGGCTCAACCAACTTTCGGGTAGTACTGTCCCGGTTTGGCACTGACTCTAACACTACGGCAACCACTGAACCCGAGTTCAGTGTCAAACACTATACGGTGCCGAAGGAGTTCCGGAGGGGAGAGTCAGCACAAGTATGTCCTAACAAATCCTGATTGTTATAAAAGTCACTAACATTTCAATTACACTATAAAAACAAATAGTTATTCAATTTTTTCGCCGACTGTATCGCCGACTTTGTGGGCACATACCTGCCGGACTCCAGTCATACCATACCCCTGGGTTTTACCTTCTCGTTCCCGATGAAACAGCGCTCGATCGACGTGGCAGTGCTCGAGACGTGGACCAAGGACTTTGACTGCCCGGACGCCGTGGGCCGGGACGCCGCCCAACTGCTCCAGGAGGCCATCGACCGGCACCGGCCAGCGCTCAACGTGCGTCTGGTGGCCATATTGAACGACGCGACGGGCACTTTGGTTCAGGGCGCCCGACTCGACCCCACGGCGGCCGTGGGTCTAATACTGGGCACCGGGAGTAACGCGTGTTATATCGAGCAAATAGATCGCGTCGAGTATTGGACAGAGAGGGAGGGCTGGCTCCGGGACGGGTACCGGGAGGTGATCATTGACATGGAGTGCGGCGGCTTTGGCGACAACGGTGTCATCGATTGGGCCAAAACCAAGTATGACCTGAGCCTAGACCGCGAGTCACTGTTCCCCCACTCTTACACGTATGTAAAGACGAGTGTTTTATACCTTAATTGTTTGTAATATAGTTTTATTTGGTGTGAAATAATTGTATTTTAATTAATTTTTGCTTAATTTTTGGCTATTGTTAGGTTTGAGAAGCTGTTTGGCGGCAAGTTTTTGGGCGATATCGTGCGCCGAGTGCTCTTGGATTTGGCCCAAAATGGACTCGTATTTGACGGTAAAGTCACCGAACAGTTGCGGACCGTTGAGTCGTTTACGGCCGCCGATGTGTCCGCAGTTGAAACGTAAGTCTCTCTATCTCTCTCTCTCTCACTCTCTCTCTCTCTCTCTCTCTCTCTCCTCGGCCAGAATCAGCTTAAACTTCTTGGAGTAGCCGTCGGGCAGAAGTTGTTGTATAAAATCAGTAATTAATGTATGAAACTTTGGGTGATATTTGTAGACCGAGCCGTC